ACCTGCCTGGTGTGACAGGTAGTACTGGGTGAGGGTGGCATCTCCGACCCCCTGGAGCCAAGCTCTTTCTCTGCAAGCTGTTTGTGTGTGGAGTGTGCCTGTGTGTGTGTGAAGGGTGGGCAGCACCAGGGGGACAGGAACGGAGCCTAGGATATGGGGGCAAGGGAGGGTTTTCTATCCTTTTGTATCTTTGTAATCAGAGAGAAGAGAAATTTCTATGGTTATTTTTACGGATGGTCTGTTCCCAGGACCTGGAGCATTTGTTTCACCAACAGCCCCTTGCCAGTTTCCCTGGGGCTACAAGAACCACAGTCCCAGTGGACTGGAGAAACAGTGCCAGGCAGTCCTTAGGGCTTTACTTGCACTGCTTTGTCCCATTCCCACTGCAGGGCAGCTGGCCCTGTTGCCTCCGCCCTCCTGCTGTGCAGCTCCAAACATCTCAATGCCACCTGCCTGCCTGGTGTCCCTCAGCCCCCTGCAGCCGGTCTTCCCTCTGCCCTGCTGTGGGACCACCCTGGGGGCTGCCCCTGTCTGTGAGCTGGGGCTGTGTGCCAGCGAGAGCACATGTGAATGGGGCAGCAAATTCGGCACTAGGAACCTGCTGGGAAGGGACAAGCTCTGCTGTGCAGTCCTGTCCTGTACCAGGATGGTCCCACTCTCGTCAGTGCTGGTTTCCTTGGCTCAGCAAGTGAGCACTGTGTTTTTACCCACTGGGTGTTGTGCTCTTTAACCTGCATGTTACAGAACAAACCTCTGTTGGTTTGGAGGTCTGGTAAAGGAGCTGGATGACCCTTGCCCTGCTTAGCAGCAGGCTTGGCTTTTCCCAGAGCCAGTCCTTGCTCTGCAGAGGACTAACATCCACAGGAGCATGATGTGGCTCCAGTTTCAGGGTCCAGCACTGCTCACAAGTTGTATCTAGCTGGTTCCCTGGGGGCTCTGTGTACACCTACTCTCCCCTGAGTAGCAGAGGACCCCAGCTCAGAGTGGCCTGACTTTTGGGAGATGGAGATAAACAGCACTTTGCCCTCTCTGGAAATTCAGGTTACCCAGATGGTGTCTCTGCTCAGCCCAGGGCCTGACCCCCCGGCTGTGCTGTGAGATGGCACTCCTCTGTGCCTACCCCAGCCTCAGGCCAGGGCATACGGCTCAGCGGGGCCAGCGTGTTCCCTTTCACCCCCGTGGTGCTCTCGGGGCTGCATGACCATGTGCTCTTTACTGCCTTACTACCACACTGCCGTGGCATCTTACTGTAGCCCAGCCTGACATGTTTACAGGAGAGGACTCGAGCTGCTGTCCTCATGCCTCTAGGGAGGCCAAGGCCTCTTGGCTGCCTTCCCGAGTCAGTGGGGAGAGTATGGAGGGAACAGAAGGGCTTGTGACTGGGAGGGCTCTGGGTCCCCAGCACAGCCCTGATGAGGCAGGCTCACTGTCATCCTTTTCCCAGGGATGAGGAGAGAAAGGCCTGCTGACATGTTTACATGCCATTTGGGACCAGTGTGCAGAGGGAAAGCCTGCTGGCCCCACATGCTGGGAACAGCTGGGCACCTCCACACTGCCCATCTTTGCCTTTGGAAACAAGCTCGTTTACAAGTTTCTCTCCAGCTGTGCAGTGCCAGCACCAGAGTCCTGGGATCCTGTCCCAGCTGTGCTGTGGGACCCGTGTTTCTGCCAAGTTGGGCACAGGGCTCTTTATGCTGCTGCCAAATGGAGAGCAAGTGTCAAGTGCCAAAAAGAAGAGAGCAGCAGAGCTGGTGGCCATCCCTGCAGAGCTGGTGCCCATCCCTGCGGAGCTGGGCCAGTCAAGAAGCAGGAATCTGCTTCTTGCAGACCAGTCTGCAGCTTGGTCCCTGATTGTAGTGCTGTCACCTGGGCTCTGGGGAGCATCCTCCTTGAGTTTGGATTTTTTCCTTTGGGGGATTTGGTTGGGTTTTTTTTTCCTCTCTCTGTCTCCTGACTCTGTTGGCAGGGAGTGGGGAGATGCCCACACCCCCCCTTTTGGCTGTGGAAAAGTGTATAATGGAAGCGCCAGATTTGGAAATAAAAGTCTATAAAATGGTGCTGGCCTCTGTGCTGTCTCTCCCTCTGCTGGGGATCCATGGCTGGGGCTCTGGATGCAGCACCTGAGGTGATGTTGGGAGGGGGCTTGGACAGGAGCTCACAGCCAGTTCCTGGGCTGCCTGGGAGTCACTGTGGCCTGGGGCAAGGTGACCAGGGGATGGGGACTTCAGGTGAAGTGACAGAACTGCGCTGTGTCCAGGCTGGTTCACCCAGGGCTGGGGCTGCCTGTGGTGGTGTGCAGTGGCTCCAGGCCTGGCTGGCAGGGCTGCAGTGCTGCAGAGGCTGTGGTGAGCTGTGGGGCTCCTGCCTGGCAGCTGCCAGCACCCCCAGCCTGACCTGGGCTACGGGAAGAAGATCCCTTTTCCAAAGGCTGCATGGCCTCATTCGGGTCAAGCTGGGTGCCAGCGAGGAGAAGGAAGTGTGGGGAGGGGAGGCTGAGCGTGATCTTGGTGCCCTCCGTCCCTCCCCTTTTGTTGAAGAGGAAATACAGCAGGAGAGCAAAGGGCAGCATTGATCCACAGCGCCCTGAGCAAGGGTCACCATCAATTGTCACCCCTCTGTCCCCTGAGCTGCTGGGGGCTGAGTTCAGGGCGGCCTTCAGGAGTCACGTTGGCAGTGCCAGGAGCTGGGTCCTGTCCTGCAGCCCTTCCAGAGGCTGTGGCTGGGGGGTGAGGGCCAGGGAGAGCTGGTGGAGGGGCTGGAGTGGCGAGGAGGGGCCGCAGGCAGAGTGACCAGCCTGGGGTGCAGGTGAGGGGCTGGAGTGCTGGAAGGAATGGCATGGGTGGGGACAGGGAACGGTGATAAGGAGGCAATAAATGACACGGTGTGCTATTTGCTTCCCAGCAGGAGCCCTGTGATGGCCTCTCATTCCATGCTGGGGGAGTAAATAAATAATGGGGAGTGGGTAAATATGGAGGCAGCAGTCTTGCTTGTGCGGGTGCCTGTGTTGGACATGCCTTTACTTGACAACTGATGGGCGTGAGGGTAGACAGGGAGGGCCAGGGGTGGGTTGAGGGAAGAGGCTCAGCCTCACTGAAAGCTGTGGGACCTCGGTTGTGCTCACCACAGAGACAAGATGGCCACAGGCTGCTCTCACCAGGGATAGAGACAAGTTGCTCCAACTCTGGAGATTGAGGTCCTGGATGTCACTGCTGCTGCTTCCCAGCCCCATCCCACCATCCAGAGGACCCAAGATTCTCTAATGCCTGGCCCTGCCCACTGCCTTCACACCACACCTTGCTACCAGTCAGACATTTGAGCCTGGATTTCCGCTGCCATGTCCCCCTGGGCCTGAGCCAAACGTGACTCAGAAATCTCCTGCAACCAATTCTAGGTTGTGATAAAGCCCAGGGAGCTGTGATGGGTTCAGTGGGACTATTAGTGCCCGCGGGGGACCTTTGGAACAAGATAACAGCTGGGTCCATGTGAATTGTGTGAGACCAGGATAGTCCACCGAGCATAGCACACCTGTTTCCAGCAGGTAAGCAAGGGTCTGGGGAAAATACCCTGGATGCCATGACCAGAGGCTGCAGGTAACCCTCCTTGTCCTGGTCACAACTCCTCCTCCAGGACATGGGTTGGGGAGTAGACATCCATGGGAGCCATGGGGGCACAGCAGTGCCCTGGGGATGAACTCTTGGCAGGAGGTTGGGCACCAGGTTGTGCCCAGAGGTAAGAAGCCCCCTGCCTTGCATGTGGGCATGGTGGTCAGGTATGGCAGCATCCTGGATATGGCTGGAGACCAGGAGCTGAGACTGTAGTAGACAGAATGGGATGGCTCTGGGCATAGTGGTGACAGTGCTGGGTCTGCCACAGCTGGGGAGCCCAGCACACCAGGGCACCAAGGGGAGCATGGTGGGTGTTGTGCATCCGTGGTGCTGGGAAGTGGGGCAGGGCAAGAGGAAGGGAACAGTGTCTCAGAGATCACTGCCTGGTTTTAATAAACAGGAGGAAGCAGAGCCTGACTGGTGGCTCCTGACCAATTTGAGCACAAGTAGGAGGGCTGGGGGTAACACAGGGACTCAGGCTGGCACAGCCACAGGCACTCAAGGAGGGAACTGTGGGTCCATTTGCAAGTGGGTGATGAGCATCTTAGGACTGGGCAGGGCACCCAGCAAGGGGATCATGGGTCCAACTGCAAGTGGATGAGCGCTTTGAGACTGAGCAGGCCACCAGCTGGGTGGGCCTGGCATGAAGGTGCAGCTCTCAGAGTGAGCCCTGAGCAAGGACAAGCTGTGGACTCGTACAGGGATTCCTAGTCCCACCATCCCAGCCCTGTGAAGGGTCAGACCTCAGCCCAGCTCAGCTCCTCTGCTCACAGACTCATCCTGCTCTGCACTGCAGGGGTTGAGGGAGGGCACTATTGGAGGGATGACGAGCTGTGACATTTGCCGGGGTTTCACATTCCTGCTCCCCTCATGTGTAAAGGGACAAAGTCTACAGATGAGGCTGTGGGATGGCTGGGGCTCTGCCCAGCAGCTCTATTGGCCCACTGCCCTGCCTTGCTACAGAACACGGCGGGGAAGGTGGTTGGCACCGAGGTGGGTCCTGCATGGGCAGGTGGAGGGGGAGCCCGCCACGAGGCAGCTCTGCTGGCAGACCCCACCTGTGCATTCCAGTGGGGTGGATGGGGCTTCTTTGGGGCAAAAGTGGGGAGCACCGATAGCCAAAGCCTCAGTTCCCTCCCCGCCCACCTGCTGACTGCCTACTGCTCTCCATTTTGAACCACTGCTGCTGCTTCAGGACTCCCAAAACTCGGCTCATACCTATCCTCAGAGCCATTCCTGCGCACCTGGCCAGGATGGGATGGTCCCGTGGGCAAGTGGAGCTGGAGGAGGGGCTTCAGGGTGGGTGCGGTGCTGGCTGCCCCTGGCCGTGGGAATGTGGCTGAGCTGCCCCCTGTGTCCTTGCAGTGGACTGGCATTCCAGAGAGCCAGGTGGGCATGGCAGCAGAGATGGCCCTGAGCCACCGAGCGCCCCGCGAGGTGCTGAGTGAGGCTGAACTGGAGGAGGTGGCGAAGAGGAAACCTCCCACCAAGCCCTCTCTGCGTGGCTGTCTCCACAAGACCAGGTAAGACCATGTGGCCAGTGGGATGTGCCTGGACCTTGCCAAGCATTCTGCACCCCAGTCCTATCACCACAGGAAGCTGCAGACGTGGGGGTTCATTTCCCTATGCCCAAATACCCATGTCTACACTCTGTCCTCCTGCCTGGAGGGACAGCAGGCTCCAGTGGATGGAGCTGATGGTCCTACAGATCCCACTGCTTCCCATGGGGCCCCATCCACCCTCACTGATGTCCCCAAGTCCCCCTGCACTTGTGCTCAACTTCAGCACCTGCTCCCTCCCTGCCAGATGCTCGGGCTCTGCTGCCAAGTCCCTGCTGTTCCGCTTCCTGCCCTTCCTGCGCTGGATGCCCCGCTACCCCATCAAGGACTGGCTCCTGGGGGACATTCTCTCGGGCTTCAGTGTGGGCATCATGCACCTGCCCCAGGGTGAGTGATGCCATTCCCAGGCTACCAGGGGCTTCCCACGGGTGGGGTGGCCAGGGAATGGCTATTGGTGACATTTCTCCCTGCTCCACCTTCTAGGGCTTGCCTATGCGCTGCTGGCTGGGCTGCCACCAGTCACGGGTCTCTACTCCTCCTTTTACCCCGTCTTCCTCTACTTCTTCTTCGGAACGTCAAGGCACAACTCCGTGGGTGAGCTGAGGAAGCATATGCTTGCACAGCAATGATGGGGAGGAAGCAAGGATGTCCCATGGCACAGCATTACCACATCAGCAGTTGGGGGAACTTTTCTTGCCTTTACTTTACTCCACCAAGAAGGGGGATGGCCAAGCCAGAGCCAAAGTATAATGTGTGTGCTTTGAGCCTGGCCTAAGAAGAGAGGAGCTGAGCCTTTAAGAGGTCCTCTCAGAGAGGTCCTGGTGCCCACCTTGATCTCCCTGCCCACACTCTATCCATTCTCAGGTCCCTTTGCCGTCATCTCTGTCATGATTGGGAGCTTGACGGAATCCCTGGTGCCCAGCGAGAACTTCCTGGAGTCCGTCAATGGCAGCAATGCAACGGTCAATGAGGAACTGCGTGACGCTGCCAGGGTGGAGCTGGTGGCCACCATCACTGTCCTGACGGGTATCTTCCAGGTAAGGTGGTCCCAGCCTAATGTAGCAGAGAACAGGAGACCGTAACCTGTGGCTCATTTCTGCCATCTCTTCTTCCAGGTGGCCCTGGGCCTCCTGCAGTTTGGATTTGTGGTGACCTACCTCTCAGACCCGCTGGTGCGTGGCTACACTACTGCTGCCTCTGTGCACGTCCTCGTCTCCCAGCTCAAAAATATTTTTGGAGTCTCCCAGGGAGAGAACTCAGGGCCGCTCTCACTGTTTGTGGTGAGTGGGGGCTTGCTGGCACCCAGAGACCCCTCGTGCTCACCTGTGGGGCACATAGAGGCCTCCAAAAACCTGCTGGGGAGGTATCTGCTTTCCTGAGCACAATCCCCCCTCCTGTGTTCTCTAGACCGTCATCGATCTCTGCAAGAAGCTGCCAGAGACCAATGTGGGCACCCTGGTGACTGCCATCATTGCCATGGTGGCCATCTTGATTGTGAAAGAGCTCAACCACAAGTTTGCTGCCAAATTGCCCATGCCCATCCCCATCGAGCTTATCACGGTACCCAGAGCTGCCCCAGCCTCCTGTGGGGATGCAGCCAGGAATCCCTGGTGTATCCCTGTCCCCTTCGGGGTGGGGAGAGGTGGGATGGGGTTCCTTAGCAAGTGCAGCTCCAGGGCACTTGTGTTGTCCTCCTCTTCCTCTACCACAGTCCCTGTGGAGGAAGACCCTGTGGAGGAAGACCCTGCCTCACTCCAGTCATTCTCCCCTAGATCATCGTTTCCACCGGTATCTCCTATGGGGTCAACCTGAATGACAAGTTTGGTATCTCCGTGGTGGGCAACATCCCCAGTGGGTGAGCAGGGCCTGATGGTGAAGGGGACTGTGCCAGGGCACCGTGATGCCCACAGCACCCCTGTTTGAGCCCCATCTCTCTCCTGAATGTAGGTTGAAGCCACCCGTGGCCCCTAACTTCAGCTACTTTGGGCAGGTGGCAGGCAATGCCTTTGCCATTGCTGTGGTAGGCTACGCCATCTGCATCTCCCTGGGCAAAATCTTTGCCCTGAAACATGGCTACAAAGTGGACAGCAACCAGGTGATGCTCTGAGGCACAGGGCCCCTACCCTGGGTGAAAGCTAATCTTGCCCTTCTTGCAGCCAGATGAAAGCATGGTGCTCCCCTGCCACTGCTCTGTCCCTGCAGGAGCTGATTGCGCTGGGCCTCTGCAACTTCCTGGGAGGCTTCTTCCAGTGTTTTGCCATCAGCTGCTCCATGTCGAGGAGCCTGGTACAGGAGAGCACAGGGGGAAACAGCCAGGTGGGTCTGGGCAGTGCTGCCTCCCTCCCTGTGGAGGAATCAGGAGCAGGAATCACAGCAAGCAGTGGGTGCTCACCTCGCTTCCCACTCTCCTGCACAGGTAGCTGGTGTCATCGCATCCCTGGTCATCCTGGTGACCATTCTGAAGATTGGAGAGCTCTTCCGGGACCTGCCCAAGGTACATCTAGTCCCACAGCCTCTGTGTCACATCCCACACCTGTGCCTGTCCCATGGCATGGTGATATGGGGAACAGTAAACAGCTACGCCCAGATTTGTACTCAACTTCCTCAGAGCTGCAGAGATTTCTCTCCTAGGCCATCTTATCTGCCATCATCATTGTCAACCTCAAGGGCATGTTCAAGCAGTTCAGTGATCTCAGCAGTCTCTGGAAGTCCAACAAGGTGGACCTGGTAAGGCCAGACCTGGGGCTGTGCTCTTGCTCCTGGAGAGGATTTCTCTACCCTCTCTAAGGACTGTGAGTGCCAGTGGAGAGACTTTGCTGCAGCTGACTGTCCCCTCTCCAGCTGGTCTGGATTGTGACATTCATAGCCACCCTCTTGCTGAACTTGGATATCGGCCTGGCGGCCTCGGTGGCCTTTGGGTTGCTCACAGTCATCTTCCGTACCCAGCTGTGAGTACTCCAGGGCTGGGGCTGGTGCCACATCCCAAGGGCAGGAGGGGCCTGTGGTGACCTCAGACCCTTGCTCTGCTCCCTGCAGCCCCCACTACTCCATCCTGGGGCGCATCTCCGACACCGATGTCTACAGGGATGTGGTGGAATACGAGATGGTAACAGCACCAGGGGTGGGGGAAGAGCTGCCTGCAATGGGGTCACAGATCAAAGCATCCCCAGTAGTGGCTCCCTGGAAAAAGGGGCTGGGAGCGTCTTGGTGGTGGGAGGGAAGGGGGCAGATGGCTCCACCCCTGGGGTAGCACCCTCCCCATCTGCCCCCAGGCACAGGAGGTCCCTGGTGTGAAGATCTTCCGCTCTTCCTCCACCATCTACTTTGCCAACGTGGAGCTGTATGCTGAGGCCCTGAAGAAAAAGGTAGGAGAGCCACCAGCCTCAGAGTGCTTCCTGTGTCTCCTGCCTGCCAGCAACAGTGTGGTGTTGGGGCAGCTGGGGACAGAGGGCCACATTGCTTTGCAGAGCGGCATTGATGTGGACCGCCTGATTGAGAAGAAGAAGAAGGCCCTCAAGAAGCTGAAGAAACAGCAGAAGAAACTGGAGAAGGAAAAGGCAAAGAGGAAAAAGGTGCTTCCACCCCTCCAGTGACATCCTGCACCTATTCCCTCCCTGGCTCTGACGCTTCTGTCAGTGCACTGGTGGGATTTGGTGGTCCATGTGGTTCCCAGCTCAGTTTAGGGCAAATAGGTGAGAAAGGCACAGTGTCACACCCAAGGTCAGTGGGAAAGTGGGGCTGTTAATGATTATGTGTTGGAGCTGCCAAGTCATTAACCCTTTGGCAAGATAATTGGAATTAAGAGCAAGAGCAAAGGCTGGCCTGGAGCCAGCTAGTGAGCCTGCACTCTGCAGAGTGGTGCTGGGGAGAGGGGAGGATTTTGACACATCTGAAAAGAGCCCAAAAGTGGGTGAAGATGTGAGAGAGGCACCCACTCCCAGGGCCACACACTGCCTGTGCCCTCACACAGCCAAAGAGCCTCACCAAGGTGAGCCCAGGGGAACACTGCCATGACCAGGGTGCTGCCAACCCTGGAGCAATGACACCAGGTCTCCTTCCCTTCCCCAGAATGCAGAGGATGGTCCAGGCCTGTCGGTGATTGAGCTGAATGTGGGAGAGAGCACTACACCCTCAGAGCCCACCCTGCACAGCCTAGGGCTGCCCCAGCCCACCTTCCATGCCGTCATCTTGGACTTCAGCCCTGTCAGCTTCGTAGACACAGTCTCCATCAAGATCCTGAAGAATGTAAGGGGCTGGGGAGCAGGCAGGACAGCAGCCTCGATGAGGGTGTCTCTACGGCCCTGTGGGGTGCCCCGGTGGCTGCTGCCCATCCCTCTTCCTGGGTAAAATGTTTTTCCCATTTGCAGATCTTCAGGGATTTCCATGAGATAGAAGTGGATGTCTTCATTGCCAGCTGCTCGGGTGAGGGGGATCTGCAGAGTCATGAGCCCTGGCCAGACATGGCCAGCCCTTTGGCACACAGCTGATAGCCTGGGGGGTGTCCCTCCATGGTGCTGCCATCCCCAGGGTTTTCCCAGGAGACAGATGCTGCAGGTTGTCCCTTGGATCTAATTTGAGCCTCGAAGCTGGGTCCCTGGTGGTCCCTGGTGTCCCTCACAACACAGGAGGCGGGAGGAGGCTGCTCCAGGTGGGTGGTGGGGGGCTCAGCTAGGTGCCATCATTTTAGATACTTATCCTTCCACACAGTATCCGTCCTGGCCCAGCTGGAGCGGGGCAACTTCTTCAGTTCAGCCATCACCAAGCACTCCTTCTTCCCCTCGGTGCATGATGCCGTGGTGCACATCAGCAGGGAGCGGCAGCAGGCCTCGGTGAGCACCTAGCCTTGCTGTCCCCAGCATGGCGATGGAGAGGGCAGCCACACCAAGCCCTCCTATCTGCCCCTCTTAGGTGGACCACAGCACCAGAATGTAGCCCCTCAAGAGGAAGACATCTCCCCCAGGAGCTGGGCAGGCAAGGAAGGCTTTGCCACCCTGATGGCACCAACTCACCCACCCTGGAGCTCAGATGCCCTGATCCCCACCAGCCCCTCTGGACTCTGAGTGCTGCGGCCCTGCCCTGTCCACAAGCCTGCTGTGATGGGGCTGCTGCTGCACAGAGCTGCTCCTGGCTGTAACACCGAGGGGCCGCCTGGTGCCCCCACATTGCCCCAGCACGGGCCTGCCCCACCAGGCCAGGACGTGGCTTGGGGGGCGGTGGAAGGGCCAAAGGGTTCCCGTTCCCAGCAGCGGGCTGGCATCATGAATAAAGCTGCGTGGTGTTTCTCAGGGTTGGTTTCAATGCCCTTTCCTCCATGATGGTACTTTCAGGCCAGACCACCTGGCTGCACCCCGGCCCTGCTGGGAATGGCCTACCTGCAGGTGGGTGAACATAGGTTTGAGTAACGAGCGAGCATTCGGGTGAAAAAAAGTCAGGAGACAGTTTGGCCTGTGCAAAAGCATTTGGTACAACACCTGGCATAACAGTGATATCTGCATAATTATTGTCTTCCGCAATGGGCCAGGCAAACCTGTGTGAGACTGAACATGCAGCACGTAAAAGTTATGCTGTCAACTGTTAATCAAAATCTACAATGTCTGTAACTCTGTAAATAAAAGTGGATTATTGACATATCGTTAAGAGGAAGATTCAAAGTGAAAGATCACATTAGCAGCATATGTAGAATTGGTTACAATATTAAGTGGTTTGTGTGAAAACAATTGAAAGGCATATTGAATAGCAGCTAACTCTAAAATTTGCACTGAGGAATTCTCCATTGTCAACACCTTGTTATGCCATTGGGCAGAGTCACTTATATGCCTAACTACTGAGCCATGCTGGTTCTGCTGGATGCATCCTTAAAAATAGTCCATCAGAATCGAGAAATGTACTCTTGTGCTCTCATTCCCCCCTCTGAGAATGCCCAGGATGCCCATTTCTGGATATCCATTCTCTTGGATCCCTATTCCCAGAATGCTCATTCCGAGACCCACATTCCTTAGATCCTGTCCCCGCCATTTTCCAGGTTCCCCATTCCCTGGGACCCCCATTTCCAGGTTCCCCATTCCCTGGGACCCCCATTTCCAGGTTCCCCATTCCCGGGACCCCCATTTCCAGGTTCCCCATTCCCGGGACCCCCATTTCCAGGTTCCCCATTCCCGGGACCCCCATCCCGGGCTGTCCCGTACGCGCCCCCAGGCCCGTGCCCTCCCGCCACCAGGGGGCGCGCTCGCCTGCCCGCCCTGTCTGCGCGCGCTTACGGCGCCGGCCGTGCCCCGCGCTGCGCAGGCGCACTGCGGTGGCTCTGTCGCTCGGGCTGCGGCGGAGCAAGATGGCGGCGCGCTCAGTGTGCCGGGCGGGGAGCGCGGCTGGGCGGGCGCTGCTGTGGGGCCCGCGCCCCTCCGTGAGTCACCGCGTCCCGCGGCGGCAGCGCGGGGGGGAGCCCGGCCGGGCCGCGGGCGGCCCTCAGTGCGGAGTGGCTGCTGGGCCCTTCCTGTGCCCCGGCCGGGAAGGTCATGGGGACGCGGCGGGCGGTGCGGGCCGGGCGGCGGTGGCTGTGGGAGCCCCCGGACCCCGGTGCGGGCGGGGAGCATTGGTGACTGTCAGTGTCACCCAGTGCGGGGCTTGCCGCCGAGCTGCTGTCCGCCCCGGTACCGGGGTGTGACAGCTTCGTGCGGCTTTTCCATGGAGGTTCCCACTTCTTCAAACCTCTGAGTTCCCGGCCCTGTCGAGGAGAACAGTCTGTTAGTAGTGATGACAGCCTTTATTTTTACAGGCAGCTTTATTGACTTCGACAAGGAAGCGAGGTGCTGCCACCTATGCCCAGACACTCCAGAATATCCCTGAGACCCAGGTCACTACCCTGGAGAACGGCCTCCGTGTAGCCTCAGAGGAGTCCAATCATCCAACCTGCACGGTAAGTTTAACATCAGTTCGGGGCTCATTTGAATCAATCGGCCTTGCCTAGTCTGCAGCTGGTCTTCCAAAAGGGACAGACCCCTGTGTGAACCAGCACTTTTGACAGAGACCCCACTGCTTCTCTTTGTGAACAGGTGGGATTAATATAGCAGCAGGAAGGCCAGACTGGTGTTGTACTGTCTTTAGACAAGTGTTTGTGCTGTACAAATTTGCTCCACCTTACAGTTTTCATATGAACAGTAAGTGATCAGTAAAAGTCATCTGTCTGACAAAACCAGATTTGGTGAAGCTGAGAGAGAAAAAGCCAAAGTATATACAAGAATGTACGTTTTGTGTAGTGTAGTGTTTGTGGACCAGACTTCTTGTCCCTGCTCTTATTTTTGTGTCATCAGGATGCTGACTGTTTTCTTCTCTAATGTTGGCACTCGCTGGTTTTGTTGCCAGGTGGGTTTGTGGATCGAGGCTGGGAGCCGCTATGAAGATGCAAAGACCAACGGGGCTGGTTTCTTTATGGAACACTTGGCCTTTAAGGTAAGGATGTGTGCTAGGTCTGCACAGAGCTGCCTTGAATATTCTGTCCATACATCCATACATTGTCCTCTTGTTTTGGAGGCTGTGGCTGTTGAAAGAGGGTGTAAGTCAGGTCATCTGAGTCCTAGAGTCTTTGCACACAGTATAAACATAAGTCTAAAAAGGCATCTAGCCCATGTGGTGCTCATTGGTTGAATGTGCAGCAACTTCCAAGCATACATTAATTAAAAATAACTCTTACTTACTATTTGCTGATTTTTAGTCTGAAAGGAAAAAATGTTTTAATTAACAAGTGTAACACACATAGAGCACTGTGTTATAAAGCATATTTTCTCAGGTTAGCACAGAGAGTTCAAAGCAGTATTTCCTTTAGCCATTTATTTTTCTTTGCTTTTCTTACTGGTCTAGCAAAGTTCAGAGGCTACAATTCTTGCTTTTCAAATTATGCAGGTGTCTGCTGAACAGGGCAGAAAGCATCTAAGTCTGGGACTTGATGACTCAAGTTCAGCTTGTACCTTCATAGGCAACTACAGTATCTGGCTAGCTCCTTATGAGATGGGCCCTGTATTAGAAGTAGTCTTCTGCTTCTTTTTGTCTTCTTCTATATATCATTGCTTGGATACCTAGAAACTTGCTTGTTTTTGGTTTGGGTTTGTTCTTGGTTTACTTCCAGGGATGTGCTGTTCAACCACTGTTGTCCCAGCATAGGTTGTCTCCTACTCTCCTGAGTTTTTGTTGGTTAGTGGTGATGACAGCCTTTATTTTTACAAGCATCTTTATTGTGTTTCAATAAACACAAGCTTTATTGAAAGTTTGTGTTAGTCTTTCAAAATACACCTCAGTCATTGTTTATCTAGAGGAAATACGCCAAGTATTAAATCTCTTGCCCTGTGCACCTGCCCATGGCTTTTATGGATCACATGACAGTTTTTATTTCTTAAGGTCTTTATTGTTATTTTCATTGCTTTAATTCTGACCTAAAGGGAAGTTTGTTCATTTAGTAATTGAGTTTATCTGGTTTCCTTTAGGGCACAAAGAAGCATCCTGGCTCGGCCTTTGAGAAGGAGGTGGAAAGTCTGGGTGCTCACCTGAACGGGTACACCTCCCGCGAGCAAACTGCCTTCTACATAAAAGCCTTGTCCAAGGATATGCCCAAAGGTAAGATGGCCAGGGGCAAAGTCTGATTGGGAGGTTAAGTAAGTGCATGTGCTTCTGTTTCTCACCCCCAAGCATCTTTTCTAGCAACAGACCAGGGACTGAATTGAAGCTGCGCAGTAAATTAGAGGTTCTGGTTGGTAGTTGAAGAGAACAGTGCAGTGATGTGGTGCTTCAAGACTGTATGTTTGTGTGTCCCTAAACCAAGAGTTTTAGTTATGTTGGGCTGCACTGTATTGCCAAAAGCGAAGATTGGAGGGATTCACTAATTTGTGGTTGTTTTATGGAGCTTAGCTGAGGTCAGTGACAGCTGCTGTGTGAGAAGTCCTCCGTGCAGCTCTTGAAGGTGCTCTTCATGCTCTGTACTGCCATGTGCTCCCTTCTCTGGGTTGGTTTTGGGCAGAGGCAGTGATTTGAGTAGGGGCCTTACTGTAGACGTGGGCTGTGCTGTAGGCATCACAAACTCCTTGTAAGGATTTGTTGTCTATCTGGAAGAATCCCTGCTTCTGACATACTTCATCTTCTGCACATGTTGCCTGAACTGTGCTGGCTGGGGTGCTTGGCAAGCTGATTTGGAGACTTCTTGGTAAACCAGTGTTTGTTCCTCCCAGATGCTTTGGGAACGGGTTGCACTCGGCTTTGTTATGTCACATGCCCTCCCTCAGCATGGTTTTTGCTCACTCCTGTGTGTCTCCTTTCAGCAGCACTGGATAGCAGTCAGGCAGTGGGATGCTAACGCTGGAATTGTGTTGCAGTTGTAGAGCTTCTGAGTGACCTTGTGCAGAACTGTGCGCTGGAGGATTCTCACATTGAGAGGGAGCGTGGCATCATCCTTCAGGAGTTGAAGGAAATGGACAGCAACCTGGCAGATGTCACCTTTGATTACCTTCATGCCACTGCTTACCAGGGGACTGCACTGGCCCACACCGTTGAAGGGACCACAGAGAACATCAAGTGAGCAACAGGCTGGATGTGGTGCACAGCCTAGGGGTGCAGTCCATGAGGTGCATGACTGCTGCTTCCTGGTGTGATGACTGCACAGTGTGTACATGGAGGTGATCTGAGCCCATAGGCTTCTCCTTGTGCTCTGTGTTTTCTCCACTGGCACTGGTGAAAGTGTAACGTTGCACACATTCCTTAGAACCACCTCATGCTGGCCCTTCCTGAGGCTGGAAGGGACAGGTTGAACCCTCTCCCATACTTCTCAGTTTGTCAGAAAAATTAGAGAGCTAGGGGTGCTCATTAAAGCAGTGGCCTTGTGTTAGCTCTGTGACTGGGCTCAGTACTCTGCAGTCTGTATTGAAGTCTGGCTTTAACTCTCCATCTTAGCTGCTGGTTCCTGTTCTTTGTGTTCTAGAGTTAGAGCACAGGGCAAACAGTATACAGTGCATTCTTG